TTACAAATCATAGGCATACAGGAAGGAGAAGAATCCCAAGATAATGGCATGGACCAGATCTTCAACAGAATCATAGAAGAAAATTTCCCAAAATTAAAGAAAGACATGGCCATACAAATACAAGAAACATATAGAACACCAAACAGACAGGACCAGAACAGAAATTCTCCACGGCACATCATAGTAAAAACATTACACATACAAAACAAAGAGACAATTCTGAAAGCTGCAAAAGAGAAACAACCCATTAGGATTACAGCTGACTTTTCAGTGCAAAGTATGAAACCCAGAAGAGCCTGGACCAACGTATTCCCAGATTTAAATGACCACAGACGCCAACCCAGATTTCTATACCCAGCCAAAATGTCTATTATAGTAGAAGGGGAAGAAAAATCTTCCATGACATAAATAGGCTGAAGGAATTCATGTCTGAAAAACCATCCCTTCAGAGAGTTCTGGAAGCAATACAAAGAGCTGATGAAAGAAATGAATGTACCCAAGGGATTGTGGAAAGAAATCCAATGAAGGTATAACTGTGGAAAGGTACAGCTATATCAAGAATGTAAACAGAAATAAAAATGACAGGATTCAATACCCATCTTTCATTAATAACTTTAAATATTAATGGACTGGACTCCCCAGTCAAAAGACACAGACTTTGTGAATGGATTAAGAAACCAAACACATCTTTTTGTTGTCTGCAAGAAACTTATCTCACTTTCAAGGACAGACACTATCTCAAAGTGAAAGGATGGAAAAAAAATACCAAGCAAATGGCACTAAGTAAAAAGCAGGCATAGCAATTCTAGTAACTGACAAAATAGACTTTAAACTTAAATGAATCAGAAGAGACAAAGAGGGCCACTTCATTTTGATCAAAGGAACAATGAATCAAGAAGATATTACAATCATGATCATATATTCACAAAACTCTGGTGCACCCAACTTCATAAAAACAATACTACAGGACTTTAAGACCCAGATTAACCCCAGCTCATTAATAGTAGGGGACTTGAATACCCCACTCTCTCCATTAGGTAGGTCAACAGGACAGAGAATTAACAAAGAGATATCTGAATTAAACAATACCCAAATGGGCCTAACAGACATCCACCAAATATTCCACTCAAGCACCAAGGAATATGCTTTCTATTCAGCACCCAATGGAACTTTCTCCAAAATCGACCATATGCTGGGACACAAAACAAACCTCAACAAATACAAAAAGACTAAAATAATTCCATGCATTCTATCAGACCACAATGCAATAAAGCTTACAATCAACACCGAAAGAAGCTCTAATCACCACATGAACACATGGAGATTAAACAACACAATCCTGAATGATGAATGGGTCAAAAGAGAAATTAAGAAAGAAATAAAAGTGTTCCTGGAATTAAATGAAAAGGACAATATAACACAACAAAACATCTTGGACACGCTGAAAGCGGTCCTTAGAGGGAAGTTTATAGCTCTAAGTGCCTA